GGGGAGTTCAAAAGTCTCTTGTGGAAGTGGGATCACACAGCAGAGCTGGAACTCTCTCCTCCACTTCTGCCCCTCTCCAGCCACGTAAACAGCAATCAGAACTATTTCTGCATGCAGTTCTGTTTGCTGATTGCTGTTTGCAGGAGTAGTAGTACAAGTGTAAGGAATAATCACATTCCATCACTTGTGCTCCACGCTCTGAGAAGTTCAAAAGTCTCTTGTGGAAGTGGGATCACACAGCAGAGCTGGAACTCTCTCCTCCACTTCTGCCCCTCTCCAGCCACGTAAACAGCAATCAGAACTATTTCTGCATGCAGTTCTGTTTGCTGATTGCTGTTTGCAGGAGTAGTAGTACAAGTGTAAGGAATAATCACATTCCATCACTTGTGCTCCACGCTCTGAGATCCACTTAATTCACTTCTCCACAAGGCAAATCTTTTCCTTAGCCTGGTATTCCTATTACAGAAGACTGCCATGAATGGCTGCAGAGTTATAATTACCTAAAAAGGAGCTACAGGAACATGTGGACTTTATTTCTTTATATGATGAGGAAAAAGACTGAGCGGCATACCCTGCTTTACAGGAATACCTCTGTGGTTCCTAACAAAGATGCCCACATCAATAATATGTGAATAATATGTGAAAGGCTAATGGATTTATGTTAGGAGTGATCCATTTAGAAGTTGTATCCAGTTTTACTTGTTCTTAAAAATATCCCCCACAAATGCTTAAGAATCCAAATGAGGGAAATGTTTCTGCTGAATTTCTCATTGTCTGCAAAAGTGAGACTTTGCCTACTGAGGTTTGCAATTATACATGATTATGTCACCCAAGGTGCTAGCCTGCTGTTCTCAAATAGAGAGCGACTAGATGTACAAATTCAGTTCTTCTGGTTCTCATTTCAATTGTATCTCTGCAGTAAAGAAAGTTAGGTTGCTAGAATCCCATGGACTGTACCTGCTCACAACTGGTCTGGCTCACCACAGCTTCATATGGAGGAGGGGGATCCAAAGGACAGAACACTTCAACTCCTTTAATTCTAGCTCCATAAATATGTGGTAATGGAATAATATCAGCCCCAAGCATCCTAGGAAAAATAATGTTATATTAGTCTCCTTCTCCAGGCAGCTTTCTACCTGCAAAAAGATATGATTAGCTAGAGAATTTCATTGGCTCTGCTGTGCAGACTCATAATCAAAGTTAATGAACTCAGAGACCACCAAGAGATTTTCCCAAAATGATATGGGGAACTAATGTCTTGGACTCACTCCCTCCTAATCTTCACCAAGACAAGGGGTGGGCACTAATTTTTAAAAGGGGGCCACTTCATACATTTCTGAAGTGGCCCTGGGCTGTCCTGGAAGGGGCAGAGCCTCAGGCAGAAGGGGCAGGGCCAGGAGACTTCTTGTGCTCCCCTTCCCACAGACCCCGATTGCCCTGGGGGTGGGGGAGCATGTGAAGTCTTCCCACGATGGGAAGATTTAAAACAGCTGGCACTTCCCTCTAGGCACTGCAGCAGGAAGAGACTTTTCATGCCCTCCCTGCCCCCAGGCCAATCAGTGTCTGGGGGTGGAGAAGCGGGCTAAGTCCCTCGCTCCCTGCCCCTGCCCTGCGGGGGCTAGAGAGAACAGCTGGCTATTTTAAAACAGCTGGCAGTTCCCTCTGGTGCTGCGTGTCCCTGGCATGGGAGGAGACTTCATGTGCTTCCCGCTTCCCCAGGTTTCGATTGGTCTGCGGGCGGAGGAGTGGCAGGGTGGCCGCAGGCCAGATCCACCGGCTTGGTGGCCCGGATTCGATCCATGGAAGCTGTCTTGCCCACCCCAATCAAAACTCTGAAGCAGAGAAAGAAGAGACTGCCCCAAGCGAATCCCCCTCTCTCTCTGATACTGAATCTAGTTCCTGCAAATATGAAAGTTTTGAGTCCAAACATTCAAAAATAATCCTCTTAGGTTGGGAATCCAAAAATGGGGGTCTCCAAAATTAGACGTCTGTGGTCTGAAGTTACAAGCTGATGAACTCCCATCAACTTCAGTTAGAATTAAACATGCTCACGCCCACATGCCTCCCATGGCTAAATAGAGACACACAAAGATGAGCACTGCGCTTAGAGTCTACTTTTGAATAGTCAGTGAATAGACGCAGACAGGACTGATGAATACTATTCACTCACTATTGGGTCTTTGATATAACAAGATCCTAGTGAAGCCAAAATAGAACAGATATCTCTTTATCAGCCCTTCCATCCTACATTTCTCTTAGAGAAATCAAAGCCAGGATAAGGGAGGGGAGCTGTGTTTTCTAGGTCTGTTGAGTCTGTTGTTGTAAATGTTACTGTTGATTGCATGTTATTATCCTGCCATATTTAACATCTGAATAAACAAATACTGATGACTGACATCTCAAAGGCTGGTTTCCTCACAAAATACTAAAGACTAAGAGTCACTGGGTTTTGAAATCTCCACTGAAACCCTCATTTTTGCTGACCTCCAACTGCTGTTCTTATTTTCTATTTCCAGATTGTGGGAACATAATATTACATCACACACAATAGCTCAAAAAGGGAGTGGGGGGTGACTCAACAAGCATCCCCTGTTTGGTTGGGGATAACAGAGTTTGGGCAAACACAGGTGGGCAAAGTATGTCCCATGGGCCGGATCTGGTCTGCCAAGCCACTAAATCTGGACCTCAACCCAGTGGAAGCTTCAGGCAGGTTCTGTACTTCTCCCCGCTCCCCATGCCACTCAAAGCAGCTGGCTGTGGGAGCCATGTGAACACTGCGAGCTGGGCAAGGAGGGCGGGGGGGGGAAGGCAGAGGCTTCATGCGCTGCTCCTGCCCATAGCACAATCTCGTCCATTGGCCGAAAACCGACCAATGGGAGCTTCCTAGGTTGTGCATTGGGGCAGTGCACAAAATGCCCCCCTGGGCTTGCAGCAATCAGATAAATATTGTCCCCACAGCCAGTCTCTTTGAGTGGTGTGCGGGTTCATGGAAGGCAGGGAGCCTGAGGGACCTGATAGGTTGCTGGCCATCAGGCTCCTAGGTAAGCGCCCCCCAGCCACAAACTGCCTGTGGCCCTAGCCCTTTCCTCCCCCCAAACCCTCCGCTCTCCCTTCTGCACTTCTGCCCCATGTAACCCAAATCCTCTACAATCTTGCACCTGTACCCCCTCCCAGATTCTGCACCCCAATTGCCTGCCACAGGGCACAACCCAACCCACTGCAACCTCTCCTACATGTCAGAATCCTCTCCTGCTCCCACACCCACACCTCCTCCTGGATCCTGCACCACTTCCAGCACCCAAATCTTCTGCCCCAGGTCACAACACAGCCCCTGACCACCTCCTGCACCCTGCCCCAGGTCACAATCCCTTCCTGGACCCTGCACTCCCTCAGACTCCTCTTCTGCACCCACACCCCCTCTCAGATCCTGCATCCCCTCCTGCATCCCAATCCCCTACCCCAAGCTCCGTTCTGCACCCAACTGCCAATCCAAGACCCTGCACTTTCTCCATTTATATCATAGAAAAATGCAGACCTTGACCACTTACCCAATTCTTGGAGTAGCCCCCTATCAAAAATTATTGTCCACCCCTGGTCTAAAACAAAACCTGAGCCCCCAAACATTCCCATACTCGGGAAAGTCCAGATCCAAACTTTGTGGCTTGTGCCTCTCTAGCTTAGCATGGCAGAGAAATATGCTACATGTTTGACATGTTTTGCCCTGAATTTTGGGAGCTCATTGAGGGGATGGGTGACAGTGGGTTGTGGGACAGGTGGGAGATGAGACAGGAGAAAACATTGT